GTAGCTCAGTGGTAAAGCAAATGCTTAGCATGCATGAGGCCTTGGGTTCAAATCCCCAGCATCCAAAAAAGCTGATATTTATGAGACGCACTTTATGTGGGAGCTTGGTCTGGCTTGGGTGACAAGGGCAAAGGAATGGAAAAGTAGGGTCATCCTGGAAGCTGGGAGTGGAACTGCTGAATCTCCCAGTCATTGTTGCACTTATACCCCATATCTTGCTAGGCGGGGTCCCAGACTGGGAAGCTACAAGCTGGCCTGGGGGCAGAGAGGGTTTAGGGTGTGAGCAAGTAGTGTAAGGAGGGTGTACATCCACCTCACGCGCATGTGCGTGCATAGAATTCAGGTCTGCAGGGGAGAGGGAGATAGCCTGACTTCATGTGAATAGGTGCCTGGGCATCCACATGGAAGTACTTCTGTGACAGTGTTCGCAGGAGAGGGTGCTTGGGGACATGTAGCTGGGTACTCTCAGGAGAGCCCTTATGCACATATGCTCTCCCATGCATGACCTAAGTACATGAGTAGTGACTGGAGAAAGGCATGGTGGCTGTGTTGGATCACAACTGGGTACCGAGTCTTCCTAGTTTACAAGGTACTTTTCTGTTCATGAGTTGCTTCAACTCCCATAGAAGCCTTGTGGGCAGGTAAGACAGGGCTGGTATCACATACATGTATGTGTGCATGTGTGTGTGGCATGTGTACAGATGGCCCACCTAGTATTTTGCCAGAGACAAGTTGTGTTTGGATTCTGTCACAGCACAAGTAGGGAGATTACAGAGTATTACACATTGCCATATTGAATCTGGCTGTGTCCCAACTGCCTTCCTGTGACCTTGGGCACATCTCTTCCTTCTCTGGGGAAGAGCTCCTCAGTTGCCTCATGAGTCATTGGAGGGTGGGATAGATGACCTCTCAAGGCCTTTCCATCTCTGATACTGTGTGAATTATCTACCTACGTTGTAAGTCAGAGGAACTGAGGGACAATGGGGAGATTTGAGCCTCTCGAAGTCATCGAGAGGTCATAGCTAGAGATGGAGCTCTAGTGGGAGCTCCATCTGGATAGGAACAGATATGTCCTGGGCTTTTATTCTGTGCACAACATGCGGCTAGACACTGGAAGGGAACAAAAGGTCACATCAAAGAATCAAAGAAATAATGGTGTGTGTGTGTGTGTGTGTACGAGAGAGAGAGAGAGAGAGAGAGAGAGAGAGAGAGAGAGAGAGAGTCATGTGTCCCAATGTGTCTCTTCGCTTCCTAGACCCTGGAGGGGTCAAAGCAGACTGAGGGGCAGTTGTGGCAAAGGAGTGGACAAGACCTAAGACCCTAACTCTGCAGTTTCCAAATATGGAATAAACCTTGTTCTTCTCTTTGGTGCCCCATACACCGTTGAGAAATCTGCTTTCTGCAAGTCATGTGTACTAACCACCCACTCTATGGCAAGCATGTGAAACACACAACCTGGTTGAGTTCTCATGGCCTTTCTGTGAGGATGCACTGCCTAGCATCCTTCTGGGAGCGAGGAAACTGAGGCTCAGAGAGGTTGTGTTCAAAGGCACACGGCTAGTATGTGCGCATGTGCATGGGAGGCAGGACTTAAACCCAAGTTTTTCTGCTTCCCTCCACCTCATATCTCTTTAGCTGACAGACAGCCCTTTGGAGTTGGAGAGGGGGCTCAATTTCCCCATCAGGACCACAGGTGTGGAATGAGATGATCTGAGAAGGTGCTTTTAGTGAGGGCAGCCTCTCCACAGCCACACCATTCCCCTCAGGCAGTTTTCCCCAGCCACTGTGACTGCTCAGAGAGAGTAGGTGGCTCAGAGCAACCCTTGCCCTTGACTGGGCTGACCAGCCCAGTGCACCTGCCTTGATAACTGGGACCTTAAAACAGCAACATTGGAAAAGGGGGGTTGAGACCTAAGCAGGGCATGGTGGCTTACACCTGTAATCCCAACTCTTCATGAGGCAGAGATTGGAAGGATTGTGGTTTGAGGTCATCCAGGCAAAAAGTTAACATGACTCTATCTCAATCAATAAGCCAGGCTTGGTGGTATGTGCCTGTGGTCCCAGCTACATGGGAGGCATAGGTAGAAGGATCATGGTCTGGTCCAGGCCAGCCTGGCCAAAAGTGTGAGACCCTACATGAAAAATAACTAAAGCAAAAAAGGGCTTGGAGGTATGGCTCAAGTGGTAGAGTGCTTGCCTAGCAAGTGCAAGTCCCCAAGTTCAAACCCTAGTACCACCAAAAAATAAATTAATTAAATGAGGCCCAAGCATAAATAGGGTCTGGCAAGCTACCTCTTAGTCTGATATCCAACCGTGTATCAATTTGTGTCTGCTGAGATCACACACGACTACAGTGTGCACATGTGCCTTAGAGCTCTGTGCATTGCCACTGTATATCTGCATAATTTTGGTGGATGTGCCTGGATTTCTGCCTCTGTATCCCTGCATTTTTGTGGGGGGGGAGGGTATGTAGCTGTGTGTGTGTGTGAGTCTACTTGCTTGTGTACATGTGCTGTGTGTGCATGTACATTCAAATGTGTTTGTCTTTATGGGTGTGGGCACACTTGAATGGCATGCCCGTGCATATGTGTGTATCTGAGCTGCACAAAGGCATGTATATATCCTGTGTGTGGACATGCACATCTGTGACTGTGATGTGTGTGTCTTGTACCTGTGATGAAGCTCACCAACCTTCTCTTGGGACTCTCCTAGCCCAGTGGTTTTTAAGTGGCTGACACAGGTCAAGGGCGTTTGTTGGGCATCTGAGAACTTGGTCTATTGTGTGCAAATGGGATGGAAATTCATGCCAAGTCCCCAGAATAGTTAACTAGAGTAGTAGACAGGGTGCCTGTCAGGCCTCAAAGCTCAAAGGCATTTTCTATCCAGCTGTTCAGCACAATGTCCCTACCCTATCTCACTGCCAACGAAGTCACCTCCTTCCTCACCTCCACTGGGACCCTTCCACACTGTCCTCACCTGCTGCTGCCCCGTGCTCTCCCTAAAACCATCCATTTAATTATAGCCCCACTTTCCTGAAATCACACCCTCATATGCCAAAACTATAGCTTCCAGACTTTGGGACTTCACAGATAAAGAAAAACAATTTTTAAGCAGATAGCATGCCACAAACTTTTTTTAGTCTGCTGAGGGCAGACATTTTTAAAAATTCTCGTTCCTGTTTTGTAAAAGAAAGATCATTTGGGGCTGGTGGAGTGGCTCAAGTGGTAGAGCACCTGTCTAGCAAGTATGAGGTCCTCAGTTCAAACCCCAGTACCACAAAAAAAAAAAGATCATTTGAACCCCCACCCATGAAGGAAGGGCACAATTATCTCCAAATGAAGACTAGTTCTTTGAGTTGAATTAATTTAGCTTTATGAAAGCTGCACTAACATTATTAGCCTTTCTTTTCTCCCATTCTACTGCAGATGAGTTCTCATTCAGGATCCCTGCTAAGACAGGGTCAGGAGCCCATGGTCAATTCCAAAGCCTTTAGGAAGTGCCCTTGCACCTAAAGGTTTGGGCCTCTCTCCTCAAACCCCACACTTAAGCCACATCACAAATGAACCATTCTCCCAGCCCCCCACCACCCTACAACTGCCTGAAAAGTCTTGCTCATGCAGTTCCCTCTGCCAGGCATGCCTGGAATGCCCTACCCCCCCCCCTTTGGGACTGATAGACTCTTCTCTTCCTTCCACCCTCAGGCTCAGCCCAAATGTGACCTCCTAGGAAACCTTTCCAAGTCGCTCCCTCCCAAGGCTTCCAGCCATTCCTTCATCCTATCTTAAAATCAGCCTAGTTGTCTCAAAGTCTTCCCACTGGGTTGCATTGCAAGCAGTCACATCATGCCAAAGAAGGTATGGACTTAGGAGTCCAGACCTCAACCTGCCTGCCACATCTGAGTGGCCTTGTAAATATTGTTTAACCACTCTGTGTCCTTTCCCCAGCTGTCAAAGCAGTAAAACCTTGAGTTGTGGTAAAGATTGCCCCCACAGTGAATGAATAGCCGGTGCCCAGGTCTAGTACCTAGCAGGTACTACATACATATTCGTGTCCTGGTGTTTGAGAGCAGAATCAGAACTTAATGGCATTTACTGACTGACTGAGTGACTGGCACAGTGCCTGGCATGGAGCAGGCACTTGGTAAATCTGTCACTTTTCTTCTCTCCTTTTTTGTTTGTTTGTTTTTGTTTGTTTTTTGAGACAGAGTCTCAATATGTATGCCTTGAACTCTCCACCCTCCACCTTCCTCCTCCTGCCTCAGCTGTTTTGTTTTTTGTTGTTTTGGGGGGGGTTGCAGTCTGGGGGTTGCAGTCTGGGGTTTGAACTCAGAGCCTTGTACTTGCTAGGCAGGTGCTCTACCACTTGAGCCACTCCACCAGCCCCCTACTGAGTACTGGAATTGCAGGTTTGAACCACCTTGCCAGCTCCCTGGCCCTTATCCCTCTTTTTGACAACAGAGGCCACATCTTTGTTTTTTGGGGGGTTGTGTGCGCGTGCTATTCCCATACTGCCTACCACACAATAGGTGCTTGGTATGTTGATGGAAATTAACAACGCTAATAACAAATACCACTATTGTGTGGACACTACACGCCAGGCATTATGCTAGAAATGTGACATACCTTAGCTCCTGTATTCACATACATTTAATATGTAAACAGTAACACTTGCCCCTGACTAAATAAAGCTAGTTTAACTGTCGTCTTAATTTTAAAACTAGAACACTGAGCCTCAGAGAGGTTGTGGCAAGACTTGGGAAGTGGCAGAGGCAAGTTTCCTGAAAAGAGCCCACTAGCTTACTTATTTCCGTAGAAAGTGGTAGAAGATCACAGAGCTGATTAAGTGACAAACTTGAAACTTGAACCCATGCCTTTCTAGCTCCAAAATCATCAGGCGGCTCGGAAGCTGGTCAGGTCTGCCCTTTCCAGCCACCACTCCATGGTCCCAGCTGCCTGCTCCCCCGTGGACAGTGGGCTGGGCTGAGTTGGGTGGCTGCTTACCTTCACTTTCCTGAAGCAAGACCAGAAAACGTCCAGCAGAGGCATGGTGGGCGTGGGGAGTTGGTAGGACCCGGCAAGGCTCTGCCGGGCATGAGCCTCTCCCTCTCTGGAGACGAGGCTAGAGGGGACCGGGGGCTCGGCAAGAGCCAGCCCTGGCCCTGTGCTCCATCAGCCAGCACTGTGAGGGGAGAGGCGGAGAGCAGCAGCTGCCAGAGCTCAGTAGCCTTGACTGCAGGCCCCTCCCGAGGCCAGGCCGAGGCTGAGGGAGAGAAGAAGGGAGGGACGGAGGGAGAGAGGCTGGCTAAGGAGGAGGGACCAGGAGGCGGGTCACTGATTCAAACTCGGCACCGTTAACCAGTGGGCTGGGACTGAACAGTAATGCCAACTGAAATTCACTGAACATTACAGTTTTTCAGCCTGGGTATCCATGCTACCTCCTGGCTCCCACACCAATCCTGCCACCTGCAAGCTGGCACGCCTGCCAGTTTTGCCTCCTGGCTGATTAACACATCAGCTCTCTCTGGGGGCCTCCAGGTACAACCAAGGCCACACAAGGGCTATGGAAAGAGGGGCTATGGAAAGAGTGCCCAGGGAAAGGACTGAAGCGGGAGATCCTTCCGCCTGGGCAGGACTCAGAAGGTATGAAGGCAGTTGGTGGAAGGGGAAACTCCTCTCAGACAGAAGCCCGGGCCCTGCTGCACAGGGTCATTCTGCAGCCCTGATCTAAAGTCAAGAATCTTGACCGTCTGGCACTGCGAGGGAGCCCATCCTTCTGGGTCTCAGTTTCCCGGCTGTACAATGAAGGGCAGGGTTCAAGGTCTCTAAGGCGTCTCAGGTCTGCCCTATGAGTCTTGTTCAGGGTTAGGTGCAGAGCAAGTCTGGAAGAAACCCCATTCCAGACAATTACACCTCTCAGAACTTCTGGAGCTATCCCTGGGAGTTCACAGGAGGTCAGGAAATGCACCCAAAAGAATCATCCATCCCCGTGCCTCCAGACAGAGTGGCATTCCCCAGGTGGCGTAGACTGAGTGTACCTCCTTTTCTGAACATCTTCTGAAAAGATGATGGCTTCCTCCTCAATCTCTTCTAAGTTTGGAACACTTCAAGTCCTAAAATCTAAACTTGAATCCTCTGGATGCCCTGAAGTCAGTTCTTTCAGTGGAAATAGTTAGCACTAGGCTAACTCTGGAGGCTTCTGAACAGAAAGGCATTAAGAAACAGTGACAGAGAGAGCCCTCAGAAAGCAGAGTGCATGGCTGGTGGCCAGAAGACTCCCAGGGACCCCATGGCAAAGGGCCAGGTTTGAGTCTCTGGGGGCGCATGTCATCATGAGGCCCAGAATAACTTATTCACCAGGCCTCATTTTTCTTTCAGAGACTGAGTTGGTCAGGCAAAGGGCCAGGCCCTGGGACCGTGGAAAGTCTTAAGCCTGCTTTGAGCAAACTTCTGCCTGCCTTCGAGGACTTTCCTTATCAGTGGTTTTTTCCTGAACTTCTCCCAGAAAATCTGCAAGAGTCTCCACAGCTCTGCTGACAACTTACTCTGTGGCCCTCAGTTTCCCCATTTATAACCTGAGGAGGTTGCCAGAACTGACCTTCTCCCTAGCTCTGTCCTTAGAAGTATCGCAGATGTGAGTTCTGTTGGGCCAGGTCAGGAAGACAGTCAGCAGGAGCTAAGATGAGTGGCTCTGTCCCAGCCACCTCCCACTGAGGCCAGGCTTCTAGGGGAAGGGAAACATGAAAGCCAGTCCACAGAGTGCCCTCTTCCCCTAAGGAATCCGCTCCCCCCCGCCCCGGTTTCCCTAAGAAGAACCATGGAGGTGTGACAGTGTGGCTGCCTATGATGGCCATGTAGTCTCTTGCTCTCTGGAGCTCATCTCCTTTTGGTTCAGGCCCCTGGAAGGAAGTGCATCCACTTAGACTACACTCAGTGGGACTGCATTCAGGAGGCAATAGTGCACATAGGGACCCAAGAAACAGAAGGCTTCTAGTTCAGCCCTGGCCTTTTCATGCCTGTTTAGCCTTGAGGTGGTGGAGGCCATAAACGTCAGAAGCAGACCCGTCCAGATTCATCTCAAGACAAGCCCAGCTCTGTTACTCTCTCCCTGGGTGGCCCTGAGCCTGTTGCTGCCTTAGTTTGCCCATCTGTAAGATAGGAAAGAATACTGACCTTGTTGGGAGGTTTAAACTGAATGAGTTAAACCACAATGAAAATTCTCAATAAATGTTATTGGTATTTTTTATTCTTCAAATGTTATTTGGAGAAACAGAGGCTCTGGAGCCTGACAGATTTAGATTCAAATCCTGGTGCTACCCTAGCCATGTGCCCTTACAAAAGCCACATTCCTTCTGTAAGCCCCTGTAGCTTCATGCTTACACAAGGGCACTGCCGTTGGGTGCTGACAAGATAATATTCACATGCCCTTTCTGTGTGTGGCTCATAGGAAGTGCAGAGTAAATGTTAGCTCCCCTCTTTCCTCTTCCTGTCCTGAATGCCCCTGACTCCCTGCTTCTGGGAGAGCAGAGGCAGCATTGATTCAGCATCATCCACATGTGAGTTCAAATCCAAGCCCAGCTACTTTTTGGCTGCATAATCACTTAAGGAAAGTCACTCTACTTGGGGACCCTCCATTTTCCTGACTGTGTGAGGATAAAGATCCCTGCTCACCTCCCAGGGTTGTCATGCAAGAAGGGACATGAAGGCCTGGTATGATGTGAGTTCTGTCCTTTCTCCACACCCTGAGTCCAGCAGGGCCTCCCTTGCCTCACACCTGGGCCTGCCATGATCAATCATCACAGCAGGCAGGAAGCCTTAGGGAAGGTGGAACCAGGAGGGGTTGGGCAGTGGGGTATAGGCAAACAGGGAGGCTGTCCCATCAACCCTCACCTTACCGGTTGCCTTATTTCCCCACCTAAGAACTGGCACTGCCCACGATGGGCGTCTTGTCTAGGGCCTGAAGTGCTGGTCTATGCCAAGGGATGCAGGGAAGAGTGGTCTGGGATGGCCAAAGCCTGTGGAAGGAAAAATGATCTCTGTCCCAAGGTCATTGTGTTCATTCCTGTGCAGGATATTGAGCAGATCACATCTATGGCAATTGGGAGGGTGGGGAGGTTATATATGTGACAGTAGCCTGATTAATAAGCATGAAGCCCTGAGTTCAAACCCCAGTACTGCCCCCTCCAAATTAGCATGTGACAGGAAGTCAGTGACATACTAGAACAGGACTGCTTTATACCATTAAAAGTTAAGGACTCTAGGGCTGGTGGAGTGGCTCAGGTGGTAGAGTGCCTTCCTAGCAATCATGAGGCCCTGAGTTCAAACCCCAGTACTGGAAAAAAGATAAGGACTCCAAACAGATTTTATTTATGTGGTTTATATTTATCAGTATTTATAATTTTAGAAATTAAGATTTAAAGAACATTGATTGATTTGAAAAACACACTTAAATAATTTAAATGTGAACATAAATAATATTTAAAACAGTTTTTATTTTATGAATAATCAACATTTTTTTCCAAAACAAAAATAAATCTACTGAGAAAAGCATCATTTTACATTTTAACGTCTGGCTTAATGGAAGACAGCTGGAGTCTCACAGCTGCTTCTGCATTCAGGCTGTTGGGAGATACGGATTGGGTTGAAGTATATGAAGAAAATCTTGCCTCCTGCAGATAAGTACTTTCAGAAGAGAGACCTCACTGACCCTTAAAAAAGTTCTCAGGGACCTCCAGGGAATTCTTGGCCCACACTTGAAGAATCACTGCATTAGATGCTAATTGGACCACATCAGAAAACCCTGGAACATCTGAGCTAGAAGTCCTTCAGAGTATCCAGTTTGAAACCACTCATTGTGCAAAAAGGGAAACTGAGGTCCAAATAAGTCCCCAATGTCACACAGCAAGTCAGCAGCGAAACTCAGATTTGGATCCAGACCTCCTGCTTCCCAGAAAAGTTTTCCCACTGCTTGTGTGTGTGTGTGTATGGTGCTAGGGTTTGAACTCAGGGCCTGCACCTTGAGCCACTCCACCAGTTCTGTTTTTGTGAAGGATATTTTCGAGGGTCTCACAGACTAATTTGTCTGGCCTGGCTTGGAACGGTGATGCTCCTGATCTCTGCCTCCTGAGAAGTCAGGATTATAGGCATGAGCCACTGGTGCCCAGCTTCCCACTGCTTTTGAATAAAACGCAACTTTTAGTTCTAAGGGAGGCAGCTGTGGTACAGTGGAGTGCACCTGAGCTTGGGTGCTGGAGAGGCTTGGGTGCTAGCTCCAGGTCGTCACAGAGGTAGCAGTTGGAACTTTCCAAAACCTCCAAAGATCAAAGTACAGGCTGGGATGTGAGGGCGATCTGGCTGCGACATATGTCACCCCATTGATCGCCAGGGTTGATTCGGCTGATCTGGCTGGCTAGGCGGGTGTCCCCTTCCTCCCTCACCGCTCTATGTGCGTCCCTCCCGAAGCTGCGTGCTCGGTCGAAGAGGACGACCATCCCCGATAGAGGAGGACTGTTCTTCGGTCAAGGGTATACGAGTAGCTGCGCTCCCCTGCTAGAACCTCCAAACAAGCTCTCAAAGTACAGGCTGCTCCATAAGGTAGTGAGCTCCCTGTCACTAAATGTATACAAGGAAAATGTTGGTCTGACTAACCTCTCAGGTTCCTATCAGCCTCAAGAGCCTAAAAGACGAGTCTGTAAGTGCCTCCCAGTTTAGGCAGGGTTCCCATAGCAGAGCCAAGTCATTTGCTTTTCCAGATCAATGCAGGAACATGGTAGGTGAAATAAGCCCATGTTTATTTTATTTAAAAAAACTATTTATTAGGGTGAGGCATGGTGATACGCATAGGTAGGAGGATCATGATCCGAGACTGGCTCCAGGCAAAAGCAAGAGCCTATCTGCAAAAATAACTAAAAGCAAAAAGGGCTGGGGGTGTGACTCAAGTGGTGGCGTGCCTGCCTAGCAAGTTCAAGGCCCTGCACTCAAAGCATAAAGCATAGTACCGCCCCCCAACAAAACTATTTATGTTCTCATGTATTTACTCTCTACCTTTTATTCAACAACATCCAGTCATTCATTCAACAAATCTTTATTCGACATCGATATACCAGGCAAAAAAAGTGCCTTTATCCAACAAAAATCATAAGTGATTTGGGATGAGAGAGATACATCTCATT